CACATATTCTGAATTTAATAAAAACATACCACAAACTAAGGGCACCGAGTTCAATTTTCAGGCACATTGGGTATCCAATGGGCAAAAATAAACTTTTGAGTTATCAAAGTTCAAAATGGGTGAAACTTTGGGGTACCAAAGTGCAATCACACCAAATTATAATGTAAAAAGGAACAGAATTGGCAAAAGCCAAATTTCCAGCATCTACCTTCTCTGAAGAAGCATAAGCAGCCTGCACAGGGGTCATTCCTTGAAAAGGAACGAGTGCTGTTGTAAGTTCCCACAACACAATCCCAAAACTGTAGACGTCAACTTTTTTCGTATAAGGTTTTTCCTTGATCATCTCCGGAGCCATCCAACGGTAAGTTCCCATGTTACCTTTTGATGCCTGACACTGAGTCTCCAAGCACGAAGTCCCGAAATCAGCAACCTTCACTTTCATCTCATCATTAAGGAGTAAATTATTAGACTTAAGATCTCTGTGAATCACACCTTGTGAATGGAGATACCGCATTCCCTGAGAAATATCAAGTGCTAACCTCAAAACAGTTTCTGCTGATAGGGAATATGGCTCTTTCTTGTGGAGATGCATCCGAAGAGTTCCTTGAGACATTTATTCCATAATGATACAGTACACAGGAGGCTTCTTGCAGGCTGCTATGAACTGAAAATTGAAGAGAAAAAAGTTGTGTATATATCATAAATTGTAATGTATTATAATTGAGTATTCACATCAAAATGCAAAGGAATTATGTGTCGCTCCAGTACAAATAGATCCACCGGATTAAACAAAAGTTTTCAGATATTTTCCTCTACATGCATGTGTTACTTCAAACCACAGCATTGCCTTCTACAACTCAGAAGCCAACACATACATGTCCCGTATCAGTCCAACCGAGTTGCTTAATACTGAAAGTTGTTATATTTCTGGCAAATACGCAGCTCAAGACTATACCTCTTCTCAGGTAGAGCGCATTTGTAAAAATTATGGCTTCACCCTCAAGAAATGACAGATATCCACTTTAAACACAATCTAGTCTTTTATGGAGAAAAAAATAGTTATAGGTTCAAGCACATTTATCAATTATAAATGCTTTCATGATATCAATGTTAATAAGATAGAACTCATATCAAATGGCATGCCTGAAGCCTGAACGACAACAGAATAAACATTAATTAAATAGAGAAGTTGAACTTTGTACTGACCTGCACTATATTTGGATGATACAGCCGAGAAAGGAAAACTACTTCAGATATAAATTGCTCCTCGAGCTTCTCCCGAGTCTGCTCATCCTGATCAGGGATTCTTACCATCTTCACAGCTACTGCCATCTGCTTATAGATTCCTCTATAAATCCTGCTTTGAGCTCCCGAAGCAAACTTATTCCCGATAAAGAGGTTAGAGAGATCAGCCATCCACTCCTCTCGCTCTCCCCCTGAATTCGAATCGAACCCCTCAGGATTCGCAGGATCCAAAAGCATCGACCAAGATTCCAAACTGTCCCATCTCCTCTTCTGCAAGATCTCCAACTCCATGGGGAGGGTGCCCTTTTTAGGCAAGGAGGAAGAAGGGAAAGAAGAAGAAGAAGGCAATGATGGAGGAGGAGAAGGTAATGAGATTGTATTGGTCCTCTCCTTCTTCTCGATCCTCAAGGCCTCGAGAAAACAAGAAGCCATTTTTTATCGGAGCAACCAACGTGAAAGAGAATGTCATGATAGTTTCCCACTGGTTCTTCTACGAGAATGGCAAGGGCGATACGAAGGGATGAGTTTGGGAGGTTCGAAAGACATAGCTTCTAGCAAACTATACAAGAATGAAGAGATGAAGCTCTGATATGTCTAAAGTCATGGAATGAGATACTAACGGTCGAAAGGAAGTTGAAGAAGACAGGTTTTCGAGCTGCATCTTATTTGGGTATGTTGAATCACAAAAGCAAGAGGAACTTATCATGCAGGGAAAGAAAGGGGGACCACTCCTTGAAGTTCCTTCACAAGAAGCCAGAAATTATCCATTGATGAAAAAGCTACAGGAAAAGAGAGCACAGGTACCTTCTCCTCTCTATTTTCCTTACCTTTTTTCTTTTCCAATTAGCAGTCAGATAAGTCAGGAATTCAAAGGACATCAAGGATCTCATGTGATTGAGTTGTTGAAAAAGAGCACTCCCTTTTCCCCCATTTCTTCCCTTCTAAATCTTGACTCTGCATTTTGTCTCTGATGCCTGTGTTTCATGGAGAACGCCTTTCCCAGCACTCTGCATTCAGCTCACGTTTCTTTCCCTTTTCTCTTTTCTCTTTTCTCTTTTGCAACCAACTACCAGAATTTAGAATCTGCTAATTTACAGAAATTGTAGCGGCCACACAATGGCAACATAATTCCAGTGTCAACGAAAAGCAGTGGTAGAAATTGGGCAAGCGTAAATCTTTCAATGGCGAAGGACTAACTGAATTTAACCGTCAACATCCAATTATAAATCCTGCAAAATAACTTTCTATCAGGAAAAGAAACGCTATCCTGTTTCCGATATGTAACTTTATTGCGAATCTGATGAGGGAAAGCTTATAAAGACTAAACTCTGGATCAACCATATTCAAATAATCGAGAAATGCAGAATCTTCAAAATACTTTGTCATGTAAAAGCTTGTCCGATAAAAACAGGTCAGCTACAAAAGCTGTTTGAAAGATTTGACAAAATTCCAATCAGTTCCCATCCTATCAAGCCCTCTAAATTGGTACAAAACTCTTAGTTAAGAAAACCACTGGTTACTTGGAATCGCACAGGATGCCTGAGAAAAATTTAGACATTCAAATTTAAGAATTTCACGCAACTTTATTTTTCCTATTGCATTCAAGAAGAAATTGTATTCTGACCACCACAGATGAGTCATAAAATTTGAAGACGCTAATGAGAGCAAGAATTTCACAAACTTGGGTGTAACATTTCCCCTCAGCCCGTCGAACTACCAACATGCAAAATCATATATTTTATTCAACATCACAACATATCTCGTGATAAATGTACAAAGTGATGTTGTTTAACAACAAAGATCATTGCCAGAAATTAAAGGAACAACTGTTGTCTGCTCGATTGGACGGAGCATTGATAGCTGCTTGTTTGATGAGCATGACGGAACTTAATTAGTAGCCAGGCAACAAGTGTACCCTCTGTTTAAGATGAATTTGTGCCTGAAACACTTAGCGATGCCTCAGCCACTGCAATAACTATAATGCCGTGTTACCTGGACAAGAAAAATTAGTAGCATGAAACATTATCCAGGTGGTGGCATCTTCATAGAAAATTAAGCATAAAAAATGAAAAAAGGTCTTGTCTATGCCCCTCTATTTTCAAGGAAGAATCAATAGAGAAATAATGAATTGATACCCCCTAAAAGTTCAAACAAATAACATAAACGGGTAGAAATTCCTTTACTGGTTTCAAATGGTCATCAGAAAATGATGACGTTAGAAAAGCATGTAATTTAGTTATGATGGATATAAATTTTGGCCCTAAAAAAGGACGGTTGAAACAGACCCTTTATAAGTGAAAAGGGGAATAGAGACCTACTAATTGGATCGAGTCCGTGATTCTCTTTAATATTGCTCTTGTTTACAGTTTCTTATAATTCTGATGTATGCATAACCACAATTTGAAAGAAGAATGCAATCAAATGAAGCCAATGCAAATCCAGGAAAGCATGATCAAGGGCGTAAATGCTCTTCTTGCATTTCTCCTGAGAAATATTTATCAGAATGTTATTTTTATAAATATTGCAACTTGATGCTTTTATAGTGGTAATCTTTGGAGATTAGTTGTGCATGCAAAAAAACGAGGGTAAACTTCAATGCTATACACCTTGTTCAATTTACAATTTTGTATTCGATGTTTATTTCTCATTATGGATGAACATATCAAAACTTTGTAACATTTTGATAAAAAATCAGTGCACGGTTTAGTTAGAATTGCATTAAACACAATACTATTACTCTCAGTTTAGAACTTGTCATTCACGTCCGACCACAGAATTCAAATTTGATTCTTTTTAAAGAAGCAAAAGGAAACGATAACAACCAAGTAAATGGTTCTTTGAGATTGTGTGCACTAACATAGTACCTCATAAATGAGACATTATGGCATTTGATCTTCTAGATAACTATCATCTCAGTGAGTACCTTTTTATGATTCACTGGGTCCTAATGTGACAGAAATTATTCATAGATCGTAGACGTTTTACATTTCTATTTAGTGAGGATTTATACTCTGTTAGGCATCAAAAGATTCTAGAAACATTAAGAGTGCGCATGATTTAAGTATATTAAGCGATTTGTTATGCACAAGCCCATATGAAATTCCAATAACATTAGTGAAAAATAAAAAAAAAATCATAAATTCTAGAATCTTTGTACTCCCATATATTAATCTAGACATCTAACCAAACCAAGCACAATCATTAACAACCTGGGTTTTTCTTTTTTTAAAAAAAAATCCCCGCAAACCAATCATGGGCACCAAAGAATTAACCTAAAGAGATACGAGAAACTCACAATCACTTCAGCCCCTTTGGGAAATGGAGCTTGACTAGCCCTGGAAGCTCAGCAAGCTCGACCTTCTCCTTCCCCAAAAAGATCGCCTTCAGCTTCTCATCGCAGTTGACCACGTTCTTGTTGTTGGGGTCCTACAAAATCAAAACTTTAATCAACTGCAAAAATTTCAAAATGCAAATTGTAAGTAAAAAAAGGATGAGGGGATCGATCGAGTAGGGACTTGAAGATTGTCGGACTTGATGTGGGCCCAGACGCGGATGAAGCAGTGGAGGCGGGAGATCTGGGATTGGCCCACGAAACCCCTGAGATTGGAGGGGAGATTGACGAGGTCGATTAGGGCCGCTACTTTCTTCGGGCACTCGGCCGCCGCCGCCGCTTTTCTTGCTTGTTGCCCTATCACCATTCTTGAATTTTTTTTTGAAGGAGATGAAGACAGAAGATTTCAGAACTTGGGGGCTTATCAGGGGTTTATCTTGGGCCTGGGCCTTGGCGCCATCCCTGGGCTTTTTGGGCTTCCCGTGTAATTACAACTAATAACTTTAAAATTAAAATATAGAGACGCATACTTTAGGAATCATTTGTACAACCACATCATGCGTTATAGAATATAAGACCGTAATTAACCTACTCTTCATCTATTAGCTCGGTCTATAAAGTATATCTACGACCATCCAATATTCGAATGTAAATACATCAAGTCATGAAGTACTTTACTTAAGTTTACAACAGTGAAGAGAAAATAAGGGCTTGTTTGGTTCGTTTACTTCATTTTCTAAAACTTATTTTCTTTCACTTTCATCATTTTCCATCTTTATAAATCTCTCACGTTAACCAATAATATGATGACAAAACTCATCTCATACCATCACATTTCATACTTTTAAAAAAAACTAAACACGAGAAATGTGTCACATCAATCGACTCATCCAACTCACCTCATCCCATTTTCCTTCACTTTCTACCATCTTTAAAAATTATTCACATCATCCAATAATATGGTGACAACTCATTTCATCTCATTAAAAATTTTCTTCCATCTATTTCCTAAAAAAACAAGGAAATTAGTTTTTCTAAGTATGTGTCACATCATCCAATAATATAATGACAACTCATCTCCTCTCGTCTATTTTTTTAGTTGTAAAAGTGCACCAAACACAAGAAAAGAACCAAAACAAGAAAAGTGGGGAAAAACATCAAAAATTACTCATCTCATCCAATAATATGGTGACAACTCATTTTCTCTCCCACTTTCTTCTAGAGTTTTAACAAACCAAACATTTGAAAGTAAAAAAAAAAACATCAAAATTCACCTATATCAATTTTCTTTCCCCAACTTTCTGCATTTTTTTTTACGAAACAAACAAGGAAAACAAAAGAAAGAGGGGAAAAGGGATAAACATTGATGTTGCTGAAATCATGAATCATGATTACAAAGGATGATTAGTCCCGTAAACCTTTGTCTCCCCTTATTTTATTACAACTTTTCTTAAACGTATGTCCAACTTACGAATTTACCCCTCCTGAAAGGCCAAAAACAAGGGTACTTTCGTCTTCTTCAACTACGACAGAATATCGCTGTCGTACGACTCGGATATTACCGTCATCTCAAGCGGGCCCCACGTGTCCCCTCAATCGCCTCCGTTCAAACCCCCCTACCCCGCTGTTAACCGTCCGCTTGATCCAACGGTCCGGACTCGTCCACGTGGCTGGAGATGGCGACGTGGGGCCCGCGTCGCACGAACAGCTCGGCTCGCCATGTGACAGCGGCGCACAACGTGGTGCCGTACCCCGCTCGAGGCCACCACTCGCTGCAACTCAACAGTGTTTTGCACTGCTC